ATTAAAATTGGCCTAGTAGTTCTTGAGAAATCTTTAAAAAACTTCTTTTTCACATATAAAATTTCTTTAAAAAAAATCGATTTTTTTTAAAGAAATTTTATATATAAAAAAGAAGTTATTTAAAGATTTCTCAAGAACTACCAGGCCAATTTTAATATCCTTTTAGTATTAAGTACATTTTTATGAGCTCTACAACTTTTGTTAGAAGCCAAAAAGTAATTTACTAGTATAAAAAAAGTTTTAAATAGAGACACTGTGCTTTCGCACTCATAGTAAAATTTATATATAAAAAAAAATTTTTTGTCCAGGTGACTGGTGAATCGCCTATTAAATATTATTAAAAAAAAATTTGTTAAACTAACTAAAAAAAAACACTATATTATCGCTTATTCTAACAATTATATATGTTTTACTGAATTTGTACTGCTGTATAATACTACTTTACTAAACATTTCGAAACAAAAGTACCAATGTATGATAAAGAAAACAACGTACAACAACTTTAAGTAACAGCATAAGCATACAACGACTCCAAACGACGGCACTAACTACGATAAAAAAAACTTTGACAAAGACAAAAAAAAAATTACTATGTAACAAAAAAGAAGAGATCAGATATAAACAAAAAAAAAAGAAGCTATATATACCGTTATGATCTGTGTAATTGGGGAGAGCTGATCATGATCGTAGGTCAGATTTTCCATGACCCGGAAAATCTCATCTACATCCTGGATCTGTCGGCTAAAATGCTTATATCTCGCAATTCACTGGACCAATTTTAACATTTTAGCCACCATTCTGATCGCAAGACACTTCTCTACAACTTTATTTAAGCATTGAAAAAAAAGGTTTACTTTGGGAAACTTCAAGTTCTAAAGACAATAGTAAATATCTTCACTTTTATTTTTTTAGCCAATCAGAATGTATATTTATTTTATATGTTTATCTTTTTGTTTATCTTATATGGTTTATCACCCCTTAGTTTATTATAGATAATAGGTAAATATAAAATCATTACTTTCTTTTGCTTTTGGTAAAGAAAGAAAAATTAAAAGAATTAGCTTTTGATGGGTTTAACAAAGCTGTTCATCTTAGTAATAAGTTTGGTATATACAGTTACTTCTGATATGTTTTATATAAATCAGAATATATCAAGCTTGCTATTTGAAAAAACATATTTGTTTAATTATAGTAGTAACAATTTGTTATTGATTAAATAAAGTTTTATTACTTAAATATCAGCAAGGCTATTCAAAAGTTAAAAAAAAAAATCAAAGTATAGTATATACAACATGTAACTATAAGCTACAATTGCCAAGAATTATTATAAAAAAGAAATAAGATTGTATTTGTTATAATTCTTTAAGCCTTATAATATCATTTAATTATAAAAGGTTCCAAAAGTGTAAAATATATAATTTGTTATAAAACATACTCAAAAACCTTATTACTATAGAAAAAATATAGCTATTTGTACAATTACTAAATTTGATATATTAAAACCTAGATCTTGAAAGTTGCAAAAAAGTTGATAGTTATAATATATATGTAAACTTGAAACTGTTATATAGCTTGAGATATAAACTCTTAACAAGTATGCCAAGTAGAAATACAAACAAATTAGAAGCAGAATACCAATTTGGAAGTTGAGATATTAAATAAAATAGATGAAGCAGAAAAATATATAAAATTTAATAGAGGCAGATAGGAATATACAAAATCTAAATCAATTACATATATGAGAATATTGATAGCTCTAGTAGGTTTTATCTATAGATAAATAACCTTATTATCTAAAGTTCTAGTCCTAGTTCTTATATGTAATGTATATGTGTTTATGATATTATTATATATCAATTCACTTAAGATATAAAAAAAAAATTTTAATTTTTATAGTATCTTTTAGTATTACAAAATTTTACTAAAATAACTCTGGTATATAGTATGGCTAGTAGTTGCATATTGCATATTAAAGGGATGAATAATTCACCCGGGTGATCAATAAATTATTTCTTATTTTATAATGTTTTATATTATAAATTATATACTGTACAAGCTTTTTTAAGCAAAATTAAAATTTATTATTATTCAAATTTGATTAAAATAATAAATAAATAAAAGAAAAAATATTGCTGCACTACTATATTATATATTATATATATATACTGTATACATATAATTAATATTTAAAACTTTTTAATCTTTATACAATTACTATATTTATAAAATATCAAAATTATTTTACAATTAAAAATCTAGTTTAAGATAACTAAAATAGGTATAAAGTTATATTATTGAGTAACTTAAAGTACAAATAAAGATAAATTCTTTGCTTATATATATTAGTTAAAACCATGGGATTGTTTATACGTAAGGCTTTTTTTTTATTACTTTTTTAAGATGCAACAAAATAAATAAAGCAGGTTTGAAATCAACATATTGATCCAAAATGAATAGCACGTACGTACAGTAGTTAATACTGATACAAATAATACGTATTCTAAATAAAAATAGATGCAAATTTAAACAGAATTCTAAAAATATTTAATATATTTCTTTTCGTTATTGTAATTATAAGAAAAATGTACTGTATCTTGGATTATTATTTTTAGCGTGAGCAAATTTATGTACCGCAGAATTCTGAACATCCCAATAGAATAATTCACAGTGGTTAAGAAAAATTAAATTTATTCTTGGAATTTTTGGGTTGAATAAAAAAAGCAGGTGTCTACTACGGGATAAAGAGAGCATGTACAAAGTTTTTTATATGGCAATTTAGTTAGTTGTTTGTTGAACGAAAAAAAATTTATACGTATTTATAGTTTATTGATAAATATTCTTGATAAATATTCCTGTAATAGAATTAGAGATCGTCTGGTCGCTAATATAACCATTTTAAGATAAATATCTAAAGTGTTTACTAAGTGAAGCACGTTCAATTTTTAAAATGGTTTATTGAACAAAGAACTATAAATCTTTGCATAGTATTGCATAAAGTAGGAAGAAACAATTAGAATGAAAAGAAATATACATGTATTCGAAGGCAATAGATATTGTAGAATTGATTTATTTTGTTAAAAAAGCTTTTAAAAAAAAGATGAACATTTAACATATAAACATATCTAATAATTAATATGCATTGAAATTATATCACATTATATACCGCACATTACACACACTATCACTGCAACTTGGTAAGACAAAAATGCGTTTTAATGAAATTAAATCAGAGAATCGAAATCAGCCAATGATTCTGGTAATTTACATCGAATTGGCTATATAATGAATTATAGGATAAAAAAAAAAAAAAAATTAAATTAATGAGATAGAGTTTAACAACGTGGACAACGTGTGGACAACGTGAATAAAATAAACTTACTTGTGGAGCATTTTGTTTGGAAGCTCGTAATTCGTTTTCGAAAATAGAATATTGATATTGCTCCCAATCAAGTGAATAAATATCTTCAGAGATTTTATTTTCTACAGGTTTGGGAACAATTGGAGGTTCATCCAAATTAATGAGTAGAGGTGAATCATCAATAGGATTCTGCTCTGGGGTCTTCGGAGTGATAACATCATCAGACTTATCGCTTGCACTACGTGGTTTATTGTATGTTAAAAACATAGATAAATAATAAGCTTAAAATGGAAAAATCAAATTAAACCAACCTATCGTTCAATGACAACTGTGAAATTTTTACGGTAATCTAAGTAAAAGATAGAAATAAACTTTCCTTCCTTTTTTTTTTAAAAAAAAAAAACAAAAACAATGTAAGATATTAAATTACCACTTTTGGCAAGTCAGATTTATTCGGATTAGTGACGTTAACACATCTTTCGTCCTAATGATAATAAGATTGAAAATTAATTTAATTAAATTAATTAAATTTGATGAATTCACGTAAACCAAATCATAAAAGGTAAAGCTTTAAATATAATTACGGTTTTTTCGCTAGGAAATAAGTACGCATTTTCATCATCATCAAAATTCTAAATGAAATAAAGTAAAAGTTAAATAAAGACCAAAAGATTTTTTTTTCGAATAAAAAAAGAGGCCATACACGTTCATCTTCTCTAGTTTCTCTATAAGAATTATAAGAATTTGATCGCCAAGGCTTAGGAGGAGCATATTCACGTTCATATTCACGTTCATCATCTACAATAATACAATTGTTGCACAGCCAAGTTAACAACAATTCGTTGGATCTTAACGAACTTGACCAATAACCTACAATAGTTGTATTGACTAGATTCATTCCATGTATTTCTACGTGTTTTTTTATTCCAAGAGTAACTTTGATAATTACTGGTAGAACTTGAAGTTTCCTACAAGCGAAAAAAATTAAGGAATTCAAAGCTTTAGGACAAATTCTGCGACATTTAAAATGGAGAAAGTATTACAACCTCAGGTTCTTGAGGCAAACCAAGGGCTTGTGCATTCCAAGGCCTCCTAACAATTTTCTTTCCACAACTATTCATTATGTGCCTACGCGAAAAAAGAATTTTTTTTTAAAAAAAAAAGAAAGGAAAAAAAGAAGCAACGGAAATAATCTTAAGCACGTACTGATGTATTTATGTTGATCATATATTTATGGCTAAGCCAGCAAAACCGGAAATGACAATTTTAATATTATTAATCAAAAAAAAAATCTCAAAGATAAACGTGGCAGGTTAACACATGATTTCCAAACTTTTCGGTATAGCATGAGTAACACTGTAATCGAAGGTATGTACTGTACGTAAGTACATAAATACGTACGTATGTAGAATTATTCATGTTGTAACGTTTCTAATTTCAATAGCACATATGTATATGTTTATCAAAGAGTATTAATTGACTCTATTGTTAGCAGTTAGTAGAAACTAATACGCATTTCTTTTTTTTATTTTTTTTTTTATATATAACTTAGATTACGAAAAAACAAAAAAAACAATCAACTGTAAGATCTTATTCCTGAACTAATTCCTAAACACATGATTCAAACCAGAAATTTTTTCTGTCTGGTCACACGGTCCATAAACAAAAATACGGTATGTATACTTTCGAGCGAATCCAAGAGTCTCTGGTTAACAATTGATGTTTAAAATAAGTATAGGGGTAGCTGCATAACAATCTAAAATAGGAAGGATCCGGATGACAATTACTAGGATTTTTATCTTTATGCATGCGTTAATAACGATAAAGTTATTGAAAAGACTTTCTTAGCGTTAGTAATTAGAATACGGATTCCATTGAATTTCATTGAATTCCATTGGTTAATTATAAATTCAATTCAGGGCTGAAAAAACATGTACATAATGTACGTACGTACGCACGCATCGGCATGCGCATAGTTTTTTCCGTGTCTCTTTCCTAACACAATAACAATAACACTTAGCCCTTACTAAATGGCAGTACTTACTACAGTATGTATGATCGAAAAAAGTTAATACAAGTGATCACTGGTATATACTGGTATATCTACTATATCTACTGGTATATCTACTGGTATATCTACTATATCTACTGATACCGTGAATCCGAACTTTCGTCTTATTAATTTGAGATCGTTGTGATTAACGTTCGTACAACACCATTCTTTAAAATAAATAATTGAAAAAGTTACTAAAAATATATAATTCAAGACAAGACTTGTAATGTCTTAAAGTACAATACAAAATCAATACAATGAAAAATCTTTGCCTGTTAAGAGATAGTGATGACCCAATCTTGCTATACTCCAGTTTTTGGCGTCATAACGTTATGGGATCTGGGCCCCTTTCAATTATTTGTTATCATCTAAGACTAAATTGGAAATTCATGAATCTCGGAAAAAATATCGTACGTACGTATCTATCTGTTATGCACATGTTTCGTTCATTTTATTTTCCCTCGTAAACCTTATCTATCAAGAACTTAGTTAAAGGCAATTTTGATTGATCTCTTTTTTTGTTTTGAAATTTTCGATATGCTTGCTTGATGTATTAAAATTTATTTAATATGCTTCTCTAAATTCTTTCTATTCTAAATTCTTTATAAATTCATGCTGTTGATTATTTAATCATCATTAAGACCTGCAACAAATTGTACCTCTATTTCAACTAATGACTTCATTATTAATTTTACGCTATTAAATATTTTCCAATTAATTTTAATTATTTTTTAATGATATGTAACTTTATAAAAATATCTCAAAAGTAACACGAACCCTACTTTTAAATTTTCGTTCTTAAGGTTCTTAAGCCTTCGCGACCGTAATAGCTCGATTAATTTCTTCAAATTCTTCATCACTTAATGTAATTATTCCCTCATCTTCATTTGTCTCATTTTGACTATCATGATCACTTCGTGTATCTTCCGAGTTTGTCAAATTCTCTTCTTGACTTTTGTCCTGCTTCACAGTTTGCCATCCTTTATCCACAAATATTCTATCCAATATCATTAAATTAATCAAGTCTAAAACGAATCCGACGATAAAGGCTGTGATAACTACAATAAGAATAAAGTCCCAATTCATTTTGCTTTTTTTTTTTTTTTTTAGTGTTTGAACTTAAGATGGTTATTAATGTTAAGAAATGATGTAATCCGTATTGCTAAAATTTTTAAACGTACGTACGTACATTTCATAAATTTCATACCTATTTTATCATACTACACATCAATAATACCGTGTTATTTTTGGTTTGTTGCATTGTTAAACTAATTAATCTTTTTTATATCGTTATTAGTGATTAATAAGCATTCTTATGAAACGATTGGGTTCGCTATTTTAAAATATATTATAATACAAACTCCTATTCGTTCATTAATAATATAAAAGTTTACAAAGAAAAACCTTTATATATATGATAATATCTAATTTTCTAATTAACCTACTACTCATTTTGAACTTTACTTGAATGAAAATATTGATGAAAGTATTGAGATTCTTGTTTTTGCTAATTGAATTGATTGAATTTATAATCTACTATCGTTAATCATTATTTTTAGATAAATATATACCTATTATAGAACTCAGATTCGTTGATTAAAAATTCTAACCGGATTTGCGGGAAAATTTGCCTATATAAATACACAATGGTAGTGTAAGCCTAGTAATCCGTACTTTGTAAAGAGCTTTTAGCCGATACTTTTTAACTATTCTAACAACATCTCGTCTAATTTTTTTTTTTTTGGTAAAATAACCCTTGAAATCGCGAGCGTCATTACCGGGTTAAATGATAATTTAAAATTCCAAATTCTAAGCTTTAACAGGGGTGGTAAATTTGCCTGTAATAACCTGCAAAATCAGATATTCGGGTTATTATTTCTAATTCAAAATCGTATTGGTACAATTTTAATATTGTGACTATACTAATTTTTACGATAGTACATTAAAATGTGGATTTTAGTTATAGTTTAAGACTACGTAATCAAGGTTTTAATACAGTATATAGCGATAGATCAGATTAAAAAGTTTGAAAAATAAAATAGACATTAAAGGAAGAATTAATCTCAGATTATCTATTTTCTTGTAATGACTTCATCAAGAGGCACATTCATTTCACGACCTTCTTCACCTCCATGGCTAAAATGCCAGAATTCATTTGTATAAGGTAGAAATCCAAATTTTTGCATAGCTTCGGATAATATAAGCCTATTTTTATATGCTACTTCACCAATTTGTGTAGAATCTACGGTTGTGTGAGATATTTCATCCATAAAATCATATCTAGCACCCATATCAAGTATTTCACCAGTTTTAATAACTTGTAAAACTACATCAACAGTATTCCCATAGCAATGCCCAGAATCTTTGCTAACATATCCTAAGTCAAAAAGTTGACTTTTTTCAATTTTAGGGTAATGTTTTTGTTTTCTTTCTAATTCATATTCATCGCTAGGAGGTTGCTTTGACCAAGATAAAATATCTTGTACAGCTCGTTTTGGACGATATGCATCATAAACGAGTATACCATATCCATATTTTTCATTTAAATAATTTTGTGTTAAGCAAAGTGCCTTTGCGGCCTTCGGCATAAGAAGGGCTACATCAATAATCGAAGAATCATAACCATTAATAATTCTGCCAACAAAATTTTTTTTAGTCGCATATTTTAATTCTGCTTTAATAGGGTATTGACAACTTTCTCTACTTAGTTTGGTAACATCAACTAGAGACATATTTAAATATTGAATGTTAGTAAGGCTACTAATTACCGTTACTAAAAACAATCGAAAAAAAAACTGATCCTTAAATTTGTACAATCAAATACTGAACACAAGCATGTTACTTCCGTTTTTTTACTTTATAGGGTTTATAACGATAAGTACGTACTGTACGTACGTACGTACGTACAGTACAAAAATTAGTCATATAAAGTAGGGATAGACAATGTAATAATTTATGCTTAAATTTCTCCATTCCTTTGATTTACATAAATATCACATTTTTTTATAGTTACATTTATTCTTTGTCGAAGTTATAGAACTTCTAAAAATTGCGATCTTCAAAAATAACGCGGAAAATTGCAAGAAATGTAACTTGCTTTAAATGATTATCCATTTTACAGAATATTAGCATCATTAGAACATACATGTAGTTTGAAATCTTTACCAATTTGAATGAATTCAGAATTTCGTTTCAAAAGTGCATTTCGAATCTACTTAACCGTTAAGTAGATTCTATTTGACGTACTAAAATACAGTATATATACAGTATATGTCTAATAACAACTTTATTATTACGTATATTAAATATTCATTAAACCCTACAATTAAAATACGTGTATTATCTATTACATATTTAAAATATTAAATCCTCGAAGGTAAAGAATTATTACACAATTACATTACTATTTGAAATGATCCGATTGATGAGACTTGATGCTAGTTTGTTTGAAAGAATAAATACTTCCCTCTAGTAATCCTTTATTATTTGTGTTCCATATTAGTGTCTCGCATGATATAATGTATTCAACGTGAATGATGCATGCAATTATATTAGACATTCCTCGACAAGAAGTATGATACACTATTTAATATTGGTCTTGTCAAGAAACACTAATATCATATTATGGTCGTACTGAATATGAGTAATACACCCTCTCAAGGCAATACCATTGAAGAAGTTAGATAAAATCAACCACAGGGCAATCAACATTCAAAGTGGGATACCCTTTTCCTCACATAACTTTACAGCTGAAGCAAGATCATTATAAGCAGCCATTTTAATCCAATGAATACCTTCTTCAACATTCTTTTCGACACCTACACCTTCATAATACATATTTCCAACATTAAACATTGAGTTCGCATCACCTTTATGAGCTGCTTTACAAAAATATCCATAGGCGGATTGTAAATCTTTTTCCACGCCAAGACCATGGTATAAACATACTGCATAATAGTATTGAGAAATTGTTATATCACCGTCATCAGCTGCTTCTTTAAACAGTTTGGCAGCTTGATTAAGTCTTTGTTCTTTAGAACATGGAGGCTCCAAAAAATTTTTGTATAGATAATAAGCTTTATAATATTTTGCTGTTGCGTCACCTGTAAAAAAAAAAAAAAAAACAATATACTGTAAGTTTACTTATTAGTTGTTATATATGTGGTAGAAAAGTTTTAATTTGACTTTTACAAGTCTATTAAAATGAATGAAGATACCCAGTTGAGAATAAAATTCAAAAGATTCCCAAGCTTTAGCTTTATCACCATCCATTTTATTATGTTGTTTTACCGCATCTTCAATTGACATAATATTTTTTATATATGCTTTTTTTTGGGATGAACCATTTTGGTCAGTAGATGTGATTGGTGTTTGATTTAAATCTTTAAGCTTCGCAAGTATTTTTTTAAATTGAGGACGTTTATCCGGATCACTACTTGTTGCTATTTAATACAAATGATAAATAATTATTACTACACCACTATATGTATGCATGTATGTTTATACGTATGCGACCAGTGTTTGCAATGTGTAAATGAGAGTGAAAATCAGGAAATAAAATTTATGATTGGTTAAATTTTATTTTCTGGGTTTCACTCTCACGCATTCAAATATTCAAATATAAAATTTTATTTGGACATTTAGGATTTTATATGTTTCAAATATCTGTGCCTAAATGAAAGTTTTATTTGGACATAATCCAAATGCAAACACTGTATGCAACAGTCTGCGTACCTTTCAAAATGAGTTTTTTCCATTTTATAGGCATATCACTCTTAAAAGATAATTGTATAGGATCTTCCAATATTTTATTCCTGATATCAAATTCATGCTTATATTCGGAAAATGGCAGCTTCATTTCTGCAATTTCCCAAAGTAACATTCCGAAACTAAAGAAAGAACAATTAAAAAAAGTGTTTTTTAAAAAGAAGGAAATCGGGTTGAAAAATTACCTGAAAACTTCACATCGTGAGTCATAAGTCATACCGCGTATCTTTTCTGGAGCCATGTACCGAATAGTATTAGAAGTCGATTTAATATTTCTCGAAGTATCAATAAAACCACGACTCATTCCAAAGTTTGCAATTTTCGCATTTCCATAAGTGCCGATCATAATATTTGCACTTCGGACATCATGGTGTAATATTTGGTAGGCCTCAAGGAAATTAAGTCCACGAACGATATCTAACGCAATTTGAATTTTTGAAGATTGATCAAGCTTTTGTTTCTTATAATATTCACGTAGATTTCCATGTTGTGCCCATTCAGTAACAAGATATAATGTTGAATGATGTTTATCCTCCACTAAACCGAAGAACTGGATTACGTCACGTGATTCTTGAAGCATTTTCAGCAGACCAACTTCACGATTAAGGTTTTTCAAAAGACTTTCATCCATTTCTTTAAAAGCAACGTCATGATCATCTGATTTCCTCACCCACTTTCGAATTTTGCCACGCGTTTCTGAAGTGGGTGTGAAATCCAAGATATTTAATGACGCATCAGCAATGTTTTTTGCACGTTCCTTGATAATAGCAAATTCTTCAAAGCATTTCACCATCAAGATAAATTGATTTTTTATTTCAGCGACATCTTTTTTAACACTCACAACATCCTCTTTGATATAATTGATGTCACCATCGACCTTTTTTTGGTTGAAATTTATACTTTCCGCTAGTTGAAAAAGTAGCTGAATCAACCCCAGGGTGATTATATTATTAATGTTAATATTTCTTTATAATTATTATTAATATATAAATATATATATATATATTTTACCTGATTCGTTTCCTCTTGATCAACACGTAAGGCATCATTATCTTTCTCGATTTGCGTTCTTAATTCAATGGTTATTGTAAAATTTAAATTGAACATATAACCATCAAATTCATTAGTAAGCTCTTTAAATCTTTCTTCTACCCCTTTTCTAACAAGATATTTTCTCAAACCTTTAAGTTCACTAATTTCTTTAATAAATTCTTTAATATTTTTCATGATACAAACTAATTTTCTTATAATAACATTATTTGGTCCAGTAAAAAACTCTGATTTTTCTTTTTCACGAAGGGTCAAGTTTCTTACTGCGACCTCAGTTGCTTGGACCCTGTCAAGTAGTACACCACAAATTCTTTTGTTTGTATGAGCAGTTTTATACAATTCAATAATATCATTAGTAATGTCTGTGATTTCGCGAAATAAAGGTATGAATATTGCTAGAGGGATGATTACATCCTGTGCTAACTCGAGGGTATCCTCATTCATTTTCGCTCTCACTTTTTTTCTTAAAAAAAAAAACAAAGAGAATCAGAATAGAAATGTTTACATACTACCAATATTTAAAGAATAAATTTTATCGGTTATTCACATTTCCTTAAAAGTTGTGAATGTGTGATACAGTACTAATTAGCATACAACATAAAGGATTTCTTGACACAACATGTTTTACAAAACAAAATAGTTTCTTTATTATAAATGCACATAATTGCGTAACGCAACTCCTTTTTAAAAAATATAATGTTACTCGTGAAAAAGATCACCAGTTATATTTGTACAAATTGTTTATTAATGAATTTTTTCATCAAAATACTTTGTGATAGTGGAAAATTTATTAAGTGATACTTTTTTTTTCCTGATATGAAACAAATTTATAAAATCTATTCTTTGTTTTTTTTTTTTACAAAAAGAATAGAAAGATTCCCTTCTTACGATTACGATTACGATTGCGATTATGGGACAATCTAATAGTTTGGAATCACCAAAGAATTGGACTAGTGGGAATTCAGAAATTGATAAATTTATTCAATATAGTCAAGACACTTCGACTTATCCATTAGAATGGATTCCTCATCAGGAATTTTCAAATATTAAAAAAATTGGGTCAGGTGGATTTGCCAGTGTTTATTCTGCTTATTGGGAAGAAATTTATGGAGTAGTTGCTCTCAAAATGCTTAAAGGATCTCAAAATATTTCTGATGAATTTATGAATGAGGTATCGTAAAAAAAAAAATTGTTGTAAAAAAAGTAAATTTCAAAAAAATGTAACACAAATTGATTAAAAATTTTCGAAAATTTAAATAGTTGAAAGCGTATTATAAATGCTTTGAAAATAGAAAATTTGGTTTTCTTAGATGTTATGGGATCTCTAAAGATCCAGAAACTGGATTTTACATTCTTGTATTGGATTATATGCCAAAACATGATTTACGACATAATTTACATAATTTGGCGCATGAAGTTTGGGAAGAAAAACTTATTATCTTGATAGACATCGTAAAAGACCTTTATAATATTCATGATAATGGATTTATTCATCGAGATTTACATTCTGGAAATGTATTAATAGATGAAATGAATATTCCATACATTGCCGATATGGGACTCTCTTGCCCAACAAATCCAGAAGCAGGAATGGAACTTTCTCTCTATACCGATTCAGAAACTTCTTCTGAATGCAGCTCTGGAATCTCTACCTCATTTAAATCAGATGGTGTATATGGTATATTACCATACATTGCACCAGAATTGTTGCTTGGAGAACGATTTACAAAAGCAACGGATATTTATTCATTTGGCATTATAATGTGGGAAATTTCATCAGGGAAGCCAGTATATTCTGAACGTGATCATGATGTAAGACTTAAATTAGAAATTATCGATGGATTACGTCCAGAAATTGCTGTGAATACACCAAAATGTTATGAAGAGCTTATGAAAAAGTGTTGGGATAAAGATCCTAATGAAAGACCAACAGTTGAAGAATTACATGATATATTCACTCATTGGAGAAATGAATGTAAGAAAGATATATCAACTAGTGAGCCTTCAGATATTCGTAAACAATTTGATGAATCTGATAAGAATATGAAAAGCATCAAAAAATCTCCTATACATCCTGGTGCAATTTACAAATCTCGGTATATCGCGACTCAAAAAAATACAATTAATAAAACCATCAAGATTAAGAAAGATGAAATAGAAGTTCGCAATACCAATAATATGAAATTGATTGTAGATTTGCCTAGCTAAATTTCTTGTAATTCGTAAACCATACTAAAATAATTCTGCTTAATAATAGTATATATATTATTGTAATATTTAATATCTTATTTTATTTAGTAAATACTTATAGCTTCTATAATATTTATATTTTTCTGTTTTACAGTCAATAATCAAATTGGCATAGGCAACCAGAACTCCGGCTAGTAGTGCTAGCAAATTTTGACGATATCAAATCAATCATATATTTGATCAAATAGATCAATCGTATATGCTTCGAACATTATTGAAATTTGCTTTCCAAATATTGTATATAGTTATCAACAGAATTAAGAGTTGCCTTTTTTTTTTAAAAAAAAAAAAATCATGCCTTAACTCTCACTTCGATAGTTTTAAAATTTATCGAGATATTGATAGCAAAATGTTAAGTTGTTATTTATCTATTAACGGCTGATTAGATAATATAGTATTGTCAAGAAAAATATAGAGGTAGATACTGCAAGTTCTTGACAGTAAATAACAAGTTAAAAACAATAAATGGATCTAAAAATATCTTCTGTTCGGTGTTGTAATTTGAATTAATAAACATTACAATTTTTAATTGGACTATGTAGCAATATCAAGACTTTTTTTTACAATCGATGCAGTTTTGCTAAAGCCAAACCATTCTAATATTTATAGTTATTAACATTAAAAAAATATGCATTTTTTATTTATATATAAAAAAAAGAAAAATATAAATATTATAGAAGCTATAAGTATTTACTAAATAAAATAAGATA